AGTGAAAAATTTAAAGGGGTCTGAATACTTTCCGTACCCACTGTATATGAGTTAATGATCCTTCAAACCTTAAAGTTTGATTATCAAACAAACCATCATCATCAATCATCTTTATATTTTTATTATTTCATCTACACTTTTTTTTTAAACTTTTAATCAATATAAATAATAAATATTGTGAATTTTAATTGCCCCCCCCCCCCTCATGTCTTCTTGATGAGTTTGCTGACTGACATGAAAGCCTGCTGGAGGCCGAGTCCCTTCAGAGCGCTGCATGCCTGTATCTCCCACAAACGATCCTCATGACTGGGAAGATCCAGCTGGTTGGAGATCTGATGGGGAGAGGAAGAGTAGAAAATTAAAATAATTAAATTGAACTTGTTTGTTCCAACTATAAACCTAGACCGGCCCCAACTATAAACCTCTGTTTATTTTCTTTGTTCTGAGAAAAAGAGGGGGAGGGGGAGGAAGAGGTTGAACTGGTTTGTTCTGAATTAACTGGTTCTGAATGCACTGGTTATTTTGTCGTACCTCCCTGATGGTCATGGAGTCTGCCAGGTCCTTCTTGTTGGCCAGAACCATCAGAGGAACTCCTCGAAGCTTCTCCTCATTCAGAACCTTCTTCAGGACCTTCTGGGCCTCCGGAAGTCGAGCTGGATTACTGCTGTCCACCACGAAGACCAGAGCCTTACAGTCATCGAGGTAGTACCTGAGGAAGAGGAGGAGGAAGAAAAAGAGGTAGAGGAGTCTGTTTGTTTTCTTCGTGATGGTTTTCTTTGTGTTTGTTTACCTCCAGTTGGCTCTCATGCTCTTCTGTCCTCCGACGTCCCAAACAGTCAGAGACGTCTTCTTGTCGAGGTCCAGAGTTCCTACGTTGAATCCGATGGTCGGAGACGTTTCCATCACCTGAAAGATAACGATCACATTCACAACTGGGCCCCGTTCCTTGTACGTGGCTAACTGAGTTAGCCGGATAATCTTCAGGATAAGATTACATAAGTGAGGCTTTTCGGTTCCACAAAGCAAGTTTGGCAAAATCACCATGGCAACACATCCTTAAGCTTGAACCTGCTCCAGCGCAGGCTAACTGAAGGTAGCTGGATAAGCTGCCACTCCCCCGGAAAACATGGCAGCTCCTGTCATATACGGTAGTCTGATGCGCTTGTGCATATACCGGGGGTTATACGGGAGTTCCGGAAATGCATGTAAAGTGAGACACACGGTGATCCATTAAAAGCAGCTGAGCAAACTAAGAAGCCTCTATTGCATTAATGTACAGCTCCCTTCCTCAGAGATCCACTGATGAAGGAGGATATTAGTTAGATTAGCGTTTTATAGGGAGAGAGTTCTTCCACATCGCCAAGATCCGTTATCACATCATGATGACTTCCTATACGAGCGCTATCCATTCTGCCCACAAGGAATCATTTATTTACAGACCTTCTGGAGCATACATTGAACACCACACGCTGCAGCCGAGCACTGATGTCTCACACACTGGATGCAGCCTTGAGCTGTTCTGCGAGTGGTACATTGTTGTACAGTGTCGGCGATGCGGAGAACATGGGGAACGCCGCTGCATGCCGTGCTGTTGGTAAAGTTTATTTGGCGCTTAATAAACTTATGGATGTGTTCATTACATTGGGACATATTGTACTGACTCAGCATTCTGAGTAATGTGTGTGTGTTAGTGTTTACTTGCTCCCATGTCCTCTTGATGGCTGCGTTGCATACATGAGGGTTAAAGCACTCATAATGATATGACAGTGTTATTAGTACACCAGCATATCATTACTGTAGAACATGATGAAGGTGGACTCATGATAAGAACAGAGAGAATCACACACTATTTATCTTCACTGCTTCAGTTGATTGAATGTCTGATGATGAATAATACACACATACACACACTGATCCGCCCACACACAGATTCACACACACATATTCAAACTGCTAGTTCTATATGGTAATCTACACATACATGCATATACACATATATAGTACATGATACATGAGGGCATACAGTACATATATCCTGTTAGTTAGATACTCTTTGCGCTTGTTTTTATTACTTATTCTGAAAGAGTTGAGATCATTATTGTCGCTATAGATCTCATTGGATGATGCATTCATTAAGCCCAACACTTACACATTTAACTTGTCTGAGATATTTTGCGTGCTTCTTGTCTAGCCCTCGCAGCGGTGGAGGTGTTAGATTTTGCCGTGATTATGGTCTTGAATTCCTCATATGCGTTCATGATCATCTCCTGCTCGTCAGCGGAGTAAAAAGAGGCTCTTTCATTGACTTTATTTGACATTGTACTGTTAGAAAATCATGGTTTCGGTGATCGACGCTTCCCCCTTTTGAAGTAGGACGGGCACGCGCAATTATCCTGATCCTGATCGTCTGGTTCCAATTAACGAGACTGTTTGAGAGGATCAGCCTTGGAGAAACCGAGATAGCCTGACTTCAATCATCTCGTTAATTTAGGCTGCTAATAGGACATTTGATCGACTTAGTTGAACCACGTACGAGGAACGGGGCCCTGACTCTGGACCACTTCCTGTTTACAACAACAACAAAAACATGTTAACAACTGACTCTGGACCACTTCCTGTTCACTACAACAACAACAACAACATGTTAACAACTGACTCTGGACCACTTCCTGTTTACAACAACAACAACAACAACATGTTAACAACTGACTCTGGACCACTTCCTGTTTACAACAACAACAAGCACACAACATTAACTCTGACAAACTAACTACATGTTAGTTAACATGTTAACAGACTAGTTAACAGACTGACCTGTCCCATACTGAAGTGTCTCTTGAAGGATCCGAACAGATCGTAGATCAGAACTGATCCGTCCTCCTGAATACACAACAGCTCATCATTAACCGTCCAACCCAAGTGGACCACCGGACCACTCTTCCACTGAAAGAGAGAGACAGACGGGTACAGAGAGAGACAGACGGGTACAGAGAGAGACAGGGAGCTCATTACAGACAACTGACAGTATTATCATAATACAGTGGAATCTAACCACGAACACCACCCAAGCTTTTGGAAAACCCTTCTTATTCGAATAAATTAGTTTGATATTACAGAAATATAGAAAGCAGCATCAAGTTGTACATAATTCTTTATGTACATTAGTACTAAGTTACTGATTAATACCATGCTGTAACACAAACATGGTTCCACCACATGAGAATGTTGGTAGAACCCGAGGAGCGAGGAGAAGATGGAGAACACTTTGTTTTCTAACTGATCTCCTCGATTCCTTTCCTTGCTTCGAGGAGACAATAATAACACTAACAATGAAGAAGGAAGTGATTGGTTCATGAGGACAGGTGTGTGTTTACCGGGAAGCTGGCGATGGAGACTCCAGACGCAGAATAAATCTCTAACTGAGGACGAGAGCTCGGAGAACGTCTGTGAGGTTCTCTGAGGAGAGCTGAGACACAATGGAACATCGACACTTTATGAAAACACTGTTACTCCTTTCATTGTTATCGTTGAATGTTTATAATGAGTGCATTCGTGTTTATGTGTTAGTGTGTGTGTGTCTATACATGTGTGTACCTATTGGACCTCCATAAGGCGCTGCAGACACCAGACAGTATCTG